CGCATGCCGACCCCTCGGTGTCAAAGGTCGGTGGTCAGACTAGTAGAGTTGGAGTGTGGTGACGTGTGTAAAGTACCACATGCATTAAAAAAAAACAGATATATGCAGAACTTCATGCAAGATTGGACTTACTCCGTACGTGCATTGTGTTAGCTTTGAAAAGCTTTGCTTTTTTGTATAGCTATTGCCAAAACACAACAATTAAATCTGATTTCATGTTTAGAAAGATGCCTTACTGGCACATATTGGGGGCTAACCACGACACAGTGGTGTAGTGGTCAGCACCATCCCCTCACAGAGGGTTCTGGGTTGGAGTCCCCAGGGGAACCAGGACCTTTTTGTAGCCAGAGGGTTCTGGGTTGGAGTCCCGGGGGAACCAGGACCTTTCTGCCAGAGGGTTCTGGGTTGGAGTCCCCGGGGGAACCAAGACCTTTCTGGGTGGAGGGTTCTGGGTTGAAGTCCCCGGGGGAACCAGGACCTTCTGTTTGGAGAGTTCTCGGTTAGAGTCCCCTGGGGGAACCAGGACCTTTCTCCCAGAGGGTTCTGGGTTGGAGTCCCGGGGGAACCAGGACCAGAGGGTTCTGGGTTGGAGTCCCGGGGGAACCAGGACCTTTCTGGGTGGTTCTGCATGTTCTCCTGTGTCTGTGGGTTCTCTCCAGGTTCTCCGGCTTCCTCCCACCGTCCAAAAACCTGCATGTTAGGTTGGCCGGACATTCCAAATTGACCGTAGGAGTGAGTGTGAGTGTGTATGGTTGATTGTCCTTGTGTGTCTCTGTATGGCCCCTGTGTGGCGGACCGTCCATGGTGCCCCCTACTCTCCCCATTGACCACTGGGATAGGCTCCAGTCCCCCCACGACCCCATTAGGGGATAAGCTCTTCTCTCAGCCCTTGGTTTGTATCTCCTCTTCCTACTTCCTGATGTTGCTATCACTGGGTATGGCTACATCCCTCTCTGCGGTCTGCCTCCTTAACTTGTCCACCACTACTATGTCCGATTGGTTAGCCATTACCAGCTCGTATATGGAACTCCCACAGGATCTTAGCCTGCTCAGTCTCAGCTACCCTCCAGGGTGTTTCCCCATTCTGACCTCGGGGCTTCCAGGCCATGCTCAGCCCAGACGTTCCGGTGTACTATGCCGGCCTCT